AGTATATGTGTATCAGGATGTCACAGTGAGACCATTTTGTATGCCAACTTAAAGAACTAACAGCAAAAAGGAGGTGGTCCAGCCAGTGAGGGGCAAGCCTTGCTGGAGATTAGAAGTTGAGGCTAGTATAGGATTTCTGCATCATCTCTGGTACCAGCTTTTAGGTTGGGTTAGGCAATATCCTCTTTGTTAAGATTGATATCGGACTCTGAGAAAATTTTATTCAGTTGTAAAGTCCCAGTTGAGTTCTTAGCTACAATCGGAGAAATGCAGCCTTTGACTAAACTCAAATTTCCCCAGCCCTCCTAAGCGGCTGGGGGAGGGGAGCAGGTGTGGGAGAGCGTCTGATCTGTCCTATGCTTCAGCGAGAGCCATAACCGTGTTTGGGTAAGACGACGTGATGTTCTGATAACACTGATAAAAGCAACTTGAAGGTTGGGTCGCAGGAAGCCCAAGATAAACGCTGAGAGGAAACAGGTTGTTTTTGAAGTAGCCCTCTTCACAATCACTTTCCCACACGAAGGGAAGGCTCGGCTTCTGAAGGACGGAATACCTCATTTGCTTTGCAAATGAAAGAGTTTAAGGAGGAGCAATTCTGCTAATCCACTCACAAATCTGTCTGGAGGCTCTGCCCCGCCCCCTCAGCCCAGGCGGGGGCTTCAGAGCCCTCGGACCTGTTCTTGCTGGACTTGGATTGACTGTGATCACGATTCATTCATTCGGATACTACCCAGTTTTACAAATGAATTTGAGTGATTCACTGGAAAAGACGAGGACAGGAAACAGTAGGGTGACTAGCCTTGGTGGCCTCTGCCTGTGATCTCAGCACTCGGGAGGGGGTGGGGGGGGAGAGTCAAGATGATCAGAAACTGAAGGTCATCCTTGGCTACACACAGAGTTGGAGGCAACCTGAGCTAAATGAATCAGTCTCAAAAAAGGGCATTCTGGATGGGATGAAACTGGACTGGGGAGGGGGTATTGTAGAGACAGATGGTTCAGAGATTAACAGTACTTTTTCAGAAGATTGGAATTCAGTTCCCAGCTCCCATAACTGTGTGGGTCACAACTGTCTGTAACCCCAGTGTAAGGGAATCTGACACCCCCTTCTGGTTTCCACAGGTAATTACACTCATGTGTACATGCCTCCCCACCTCACCCCAACTCACTACAAAAAATAAAATCTTAAAAGTGGGGAAGGGGCATGGCTGGAGAGAGCGCTCAGCAGGTGTGACCCTCCCAGCACTCATAAAAAAAAGTACAGGAGAAGGTCATCACCCCTGGGACTCACTGGTCACCGGGCCTAGTCTAACCAGTGAGCCCTAGAGCAGTAAGAGACCTGTACCTGCACATATATGAGCATGTATGTGTGCACCCCAAACTATTACTAGTCTTAAAGCTGAAAGGGAGTAAGAAATGGAGAATCAGAGTCCACCAGACAAGAGGTAAGGAGAGTCAACAGTTCAATCAAAGAAAAACTCGAGGGCTGGGGAGACACCTCAGAAGTTAAGTGTACTGGCTGCTCTTGGGTTTGGTCCCCAGGACCCACATGATGGTTCACAGCTGTCCCTAAGTCCAGTTCTGACCTGATATTCTCTCCTGACCACTGCAGGCACCAGGCACACTCACAGTGTACGGATTCGGGCAGAACATGCAGACACATAAAACAACCCAATCTTTAAAAATGGAAATCGTGAACAGACCCTCTTCCCAGAGGACTTCAGGGCTGTCTGGAGCCTCATCTGAGTGTCCAGCCGTTCCCCCCAACCAGCTGTATGTAATTCTGCCCTAACTGTACATGGTCTCGGGGTCTTTGGTGGGGAAGGATGAAGGGAGATGGCCTCATCTACACAGACATGGAGAAGCCATCATCCCAGCACAGCCACACGGCACATGTGGTGCACACACGTGCAGGTGGACACTCACACACAACAAAATGAAAATGAATAAAGATGTTTTAAAAGACAGTAGGCATTGGGGAGGCAGGCATTTATTTCTCATCTTACCGGGCTGTGTATACACACAACATTGATATATATAGTTTGGACAAGTACAATTTATACATAAAATACAGCTCAAGTGTGGATTTTGAATTAACACAGCAAACTTTCTGTACAGTTTGTATCCTGGTCGGTATTACAGTCACGCTACTCAGGGCTTCACTGATTCTAATTAGTCAGACTGCAGGCCAGCTTAAAGGCACTAGGAAGAACTATGGGTTTGAGTATTTTAAGACAAAGAAGACAGAAAATGATCTATTAAGAAGGGGTGGGGGAGAAGCTGGGTGCAGTGGTGTATAAGTGATCCCAGCAACTGTGAGGTGGAGGTAGGAGGATCAGGAGTTTAAAGGCCAACCTGGGCTACACAGGGGCTTGTGGCCAGCATGGACTACATCGGACTCTATCTCAAAATGGAAGAGGGAGGAGGGGAGAACGTGGGCAGACACAGGTGTGTGTAAATGTAAACTCCGCCCATTCCTTAATTCACAGCTCTATAAGGAAAAAAGGCATTCCTTGTGTTAAGAGTTCAACAAGAAAAGGAGGATGGGCCACATAAACCTAAAATGGAAAGAAAATCGCTGAAACTGTAATCATAACTTTAAAACATGCTGCAGATGAGGTAACACTTTCCCCTCTCCTTCCAAACTAATCTTCATCTTCTGGTTGCCAAAACATAAACTTGAAAATCACCTTTTCCAGAATATAAATGAGACAGCTTACCAGAGGATCCTGGGGCAAACACCGGCTGCAGAGCCTTCCTCTCAGCCAAGTCTGAAGATTGCAGAGTGGACACTGAGTGGAGAGACCCTGACTGTCAGGGTGCAGAGCCAGCCACAACACACTATACAGTTCCTTTCAAATAAATAAATACTACTTTTTAAATCATGGAAAAAAGGATACACATCAATAGCCTATTTATAGATCTGTTCCACTCATTTAAATCTGTACACTTATTTTAAACATTAAGCAAGTTTGTTCTACATCTCTATCCATTTATGAAATTAACACTGAAAATACAAATGATTCCATTTGCAGATGAAGACACAGTCCATGAGAAGCAGCCGCAGCCTGGCTGTGGCAGATGTGGGCGTCCTACCTTCTTCAACGGACCTCTCCACCCGGCGAGAATTGAGTTTGGTTTTCAGAAAATGAACAATGTCCACCTGATTAGAGTTTTAACATCAATGCTTTAATAAACACATGGCTTGGTATGATAACATACATCTGCAATCTCAGCACCTGGGAGGCTGAGGCAGGATTATGAGTCCCAGGCCAGCCTGGGCTAACACAGAGAGACCCTGTCTCAAAAAAATAAGCAAGCAAACAAATTTTTAACAAAAAAACTAAGTCAAGATGCTTAGAGAAGTTTCTAATATTTTTAGTTTTATGGAGCAATTTTTGTTTCTGTGGTAGGCTTTAGCTAGATTTAATTTCTCTCATGTTTTAGGTTAATGTTACAGCAGACATTCCTTCTAGGCCAACTGAACAGTTAAATGATAGAAACATGGACTTTTAAAATAAAATCATTAGATTCTTCTAATTACTAACAGTTAAATTTACATCACTTCAAAATTTGATGTCACCAAGACACTTGGCTCACATGAGCCTTTGCACCACACAGACACACATACACACATACACACACACACACACACACACACACACACACACGCAGCTCATCCAGTCACAGTAGGCCATACCCACCATCTTGAAGATGCTGCCACATGGCCATGATCACACCAGCACCCTGCACATAGAGGGTACTCAGGGCTCCAATTCAGGAGAGCCTAAAACTGTCCCGCCATGTTTTCCACCCCCTCGCCAGGGCTGCACCTCTGTTCAGCCATCCACAGCCATACAGAGCAACGTAGTTATAAGACAGTATTTATCCAAACTTGTTAAAATCATAGCAATCTAATTAATCCTAACTTGGGAAGGATTAAAACTTTTGCAATCAATAGCTCAGAGTTGATTGTATAATTTCAACTTAGGTTTAGGAAGCACATGACCTTCAAAAAAAATTTTATAAGTAAACAACAAAACCAAAACTTTCCTATTTACTATAACTTATCTTACTACACAATGAATATAACTTTTTTGTGTAGAGGGATACTGTCTAACTGGATTAATTAATACAAGAAATCCAGAAGAGTATTTTTGTATATAAAATTTATATATAAAATAAAGAAAATTAAAAGGTTTTTTTTTTTACTTTGCTTCATTTTCTGAAAAATGAGACTGGTCTCAATTTTTATAGTTCTTTCCATCAAACTTAAAATTCAGACAAGGGAGTGTCTGAAAGCCATACGTCCAGGGAATTTTTAGAATATCTGTGAACAAAGGTAAGTGGCTAATGCTGGCTTCAGGAGAAGTGGGAAGCCAACTTAGTAACAACAAGGGCTGAACGTGGGAGTCAGAGCGACAAAGCAGAGGGTGGACAGATGAAGCACGCATTCAAACTGCATCTTTAAAATGTAAACCTGCAGAGCTGTCGGATTTTACAATTTCCCACAGGAGTTCAGTAAAGGCAGTCACTGTACACTCAGGTGCAATCAATATTAGTATAAAGTTGGACTGCACTTAGACAGGCCAGGCAGGTGCAGAATCAAGTCACTGCTTAGATGAGCAGCCTAGACTGGCACAGGACACGGGACACGGGACACGGGACACGGAACACGGGACACGGTGATCTGTATGCTGTGTGCAAACAAGACAGACTTGGTTCTATTCTGAGATTCTGTTTGTCTAGATCCACAGTAGTTGAGTACATAGCTAAGACATTCACATATAACCAGTGCCCTTACTGCCTGCACAGCAGTGTGACAGACACAGTGCGCCAAGCCCAACAGTCATGAGCTGCGCACTTACATGTTACAGAAACTTAAGAATCTAACAGATATTAGCAAAATTGTTATTTCCAGTCTCTCTCCATGATTTACAGATTCCATTACGTGAACCATACAGGTGTCCTCAGTGTCTTAATTAAGGAGTTCTCTCCAGGCATGAGATATCACTCTTTTTTATTATTGTAATTTTAATTCTGTAACATTTACTGAAGTAAAGAATCAATTACGGTCTCAGGCTTTGCAGAACGCTTTCTGTTAAGAGAAGAAAAAAACGCGAGGTGAGCGATTTTCCGTAAGAGATTGAACTGTCAACAGTGTCTGTGGCCAGAGTCCATGAACGGACCAACACTGCCCATGCTTGACCACGGCAAAGTTTGATTGCTACTCATGTTTTCAGAGTAGGTCACAGAGCAAGCATGCAGTAGTCCTCCAGAGTGGTGAGGAACTGAGCGCAGGCAAGGTCAGACAAGGTGCAGTCAGGTGGCAGCTAAACTTATCAGGGATGCCCTTTGGTCATCTCCTCCGAGGATGCTAATGGTACAGGCAGCCTCAGAGAAGCAGGAAAAGAAGCCACATTTCCCAGATGCAGATGCAGAGCCTACAGGAGCATCTCATGTACTTCTTTGTTGCTGTCCAACACAATCAACTGCATGCCTCTCATGAAGCATTACATGTTTTCTTATTTCTGAGGAAAACTACAGGGTTTTTTTTTTCCAGGCCTTGATTCTGTTACAGAGTTGAGTCTGCATCGTATGTTGGCCCACAAGTATTTTCTTTACCTTAAGTTAAACAAGAGGTATATATTTTACAGTGATGCATTATAAAAACTATATCAAAACAGCTTGCCAAATTATTTTAAGATCTATACAGTTTAAAAAATGTAGCTGAGTAATCTGGATCCTCTTTTAAAAGGCAATAGTCCAGCAATAATGGGGCCTCTGTTCCCACACTAACAAGGGATAGACTCACTCTCCCAGCTTGCTCCCCTGCTCTCCTCTGCCTGTCTCTCTGTGAGGTCAACTGTCTCATTATGATTCGCCCCATTTGAATTTCATCTTCTTAATAACAGGTGAGCTCAGAGAAAAGCATCTACTAACAGCAGAACAGGGGCTACAGAGATGAACAGGGGCTACAGAGATGGACAGGGGACTGCAGAGATGGGGCAGCGCTCAAGGGCATTTGTTATTCTTCCAGAGACCTGAGCTCACACCCCAACACCCACATGGTGGCTCTCGACCAACCATTCCAGGAGATCTGATGCCTGCTGCACATATAGACATGCAGGAAAACACTCACATATAGATAAAATAATATTTATATATTTTTAAAGATTCCATGTGTAGATTCAGTTGGCACATAAAAAATTTTATTTCATCTACATGTTATAAAGTGCAAAAATCTTGTGTATTTTAACATGCAGCTGATTCCTTCAAGACCTAGTTTAATGATTCCAATTTTTTTTAGTATTACATTTAAAGACTATGTAACACCAATTAACCACCCTACATGTAAAACAAAAATCTTGTAATTGGTTCAAATTAGCTCAATGTAGGAACACAAGGAGCATCAGCCACAAGCCAGGTTTCCCACTGAGCTTACGTGATGAAGCACACACTACACAACTATCACAACTGGCGCTAGAGTCACACACACTTCTCGTGAGATCTAGGAAATCAGTGTCCTTGGGGCAGTATCTACTGTCAGAAGCACTGACCAGCTAAACACAGTCTTTTGGTAGTCAAACTAGGAAAATTAATTAGCATCTAAGTAGGAGAATTAGTGTACAAATCAGGACCCTGAACGAGAGAGTCGGTGGTGGGTAACACTAGGAGAGAACGTGGCCAGCAGAGGCTAGCTCTGCTCCTCCCGTGGCAGAAGTCCAAAGTGCCATTCTTTTTCTGATTTGTTTGAGACGGGGTCTTACTATGTAGGCCTGGCTGTCTTGAAATGTGCTATGCAGATGAGGCTGGCCTGGAACTCAGATCTTCAGGCCTCTGTCTCCCAAGTCCTGGGTTAAAGGTGTTTGCCACCACAACTGCCCCAGAGTACAAGTCTTTATCTCTATTTTGCTTATCAAATTCTAACTGCATAAAGAACATAATTGCAAACTATGTGCCATTTTAACTAAAGTTTGACTGTCTTTGAGTATCTAAATCTACCGTCTCAACGTTGTCACCTCAGGACTCTTGGCTGTGCTCACCTTCTCCCTGTCTTTGGCCTTGCTTTCCCCTTGGAGGTCCGTGGCCTTTCTAACTTCATCAGAGACTGACGAAGACTCTCCTCTGTATAGGCGAGGTACACATGGGAAAGGTCTACTTCAAATGGCTACAAGAAACACACATAAGGCAAATTAAACCAGATTTGGGGAAGATTTAAAACATGTCAGACACTAAGCAGAAGAACCACTAAAGACAAAATCAAATAACCTTAAAGGTGTCTTCTCTCCCAGTATGTAAACTGTACTCAAAGCTCAGGAATTAGAGGTGAAAAGCGGTGAAAAGGGCACACCAGAGTGACAGCAGGCTGTGCTTGTGGAAGGGGAGGAAAGGCAGACGACTTTGCTGAGTTCTGGAGAGCAGGCCTGTCCTAACAGCTCCACCCCAGAGCCTCTCCTCACAAACCAGAATCTATGCAATGTCCCCATCCTATAAAGACAGAGGGAGTGATTAAGTCTCTTACGTCTCTCTCCTTCTTGTCAGGGACTGGAGTTTGTTTCCTCATGTTATTTCCTGTGTAGGCCACACATTTCTCAAAAAAAGGAAAAGAGACACATCTGAATTAATACTGTGACCAGGAAAAGGGGCTGTGAGACACCCTGACAGCTCACTAGCAAACATGATGCTTATCCTGGAGCACCAAGGAGCCTCAGGCCTAAGCTATTTCCACACATGCTCTCCACATTGCTGTGAACCAGAAAATATCCTATCTGGTGCACTGAGCCCCATCTTCTCTGACCTGCACCCGCTTCTTCCCGCAGGAGCCAGCACTCTCCACACTGTAATACCACCAACCATGAAGGAATACTCACTAGCTGCCATTCTCCTATGTCTTCATTCCAGTGGACATAGTTTTCAATCATTTCCTTCAAAAAGAGGACAAGTCTACTTTTAGTTAACAGTTAAGGTACTCAAAAATATTAACAGACCTGTGCATATAAAAATGACATAGCCATGTGTGACGTCTTCCTATACCTATGATTGCATCTTGCTCATAAAAATCCCTTTACTTTCTCACGCCTTAAACTAAGTAAGATCCTTTAAAAGCCTTGCATTTTATCATGTATGCATGATGGGGTAGGGACACATCAAGGTGCTTATGTGGAAGTCAGAGAACAACTCTGTGGAGTCAGTGCCCTCTTTTTATACCTTTATGTGAGTTCCGGGCTGACATCACACAGGTCACCAATTTATATAATGATTCTTTACTACTGAACCACCTCACTGGCCTACCAGACCTACACTTTCAATGTTAAGTGGAAAAAAGTTGTTTGTAAACATTTTGTACTGAAATTTTGGTTTTGTTTTGAGACAGAGGGTTTCTCTGTGCAACTCATTCCAGAGACCAGGCTGTCCTGGAACTCAGAAATCACCTTCCTCTGCCTCCTGAGTGCTGGCATTAAAGGTGTGTACTATTGCCACCCAGCCTGCATCAAGCATTTAAAAAATATATACTCCTTGGGCTAGAGAGCTGGCTTAATGGTTAAGAGCAATTGCTCTTGCAGAGGACCTAGGTTCAGTTCCCAGTGCCTACATGGTGGCTAACAACTCTAATTCCAGGGGCATCTGACACCTCATCTCTGTGGGCACTAGTCATGCACACAGTGCACACATATGCATGTAGGCAAAACACCCATATACATAACGTAAAAATAAACAAGCACACACACAGGTCTTGGGAACACATGTGCATACTATTCAACTACATAAAAAGCAAAAAACTAAAGCTGTGATCCCAGGAATTGGAAGGACAGACAGGCTGGGCTAGAAGAGGCAAAGAAATAGAAAGCTGGGAAAACCGTCTGGCTACAAACAGGCTACAGTCTAGATTTCAGCTCTGACTTTGGGTAATGAGTTAACGGAACGAGGGCATCCTGAAATGTCCCAGAAACCCAGGATTAATTCTGCGTACTTGGAGTCAAAGGGGAACTTTTCAGACAAGTTTCTCATAACTACACTGAGATTCACGACATTAAAACTCCACACATTAAAGTGTATTAAGACAAACTAGAAGGTGGGCTGGAGAGGTGGTGCCAGGGGTTAAGAGTGCCCACTGTGCTTGTAGACAACTGGGGCTCAGTTCCCAGCACCCACATCCAGCACCTCACAGCCGCCTCTAACTCCAGTTATAAGGGACCCATGCTCTTCCCTAGACTCTATGCACAAGCCCACATTCTCACATAAACACAAACTAAACACAAAATAAAATTTTTGCTAAGAAAAAGATAAGATTTTAAAGTTATGTTGATAGTAATAATTACTATGTGTCTGAAAATGATTTCTGATGATGTCTGGTTGTACAAGAAAGTAATAAATTTAGTGTTATTCAACTGTATACATACAGATGATGAGAATGGGCAATTTCATGTTCTATTTACACAGAGAAAGAAAAAGAAGAAAGAGAAAGAAGAGCAAGAAGAGAGAGGAGAGAGAGGAGAATGGTGGACAGAGCACATCCATCAAGAGAGGACACCAGCATAGTCTGCTTATTTTTTATTTGAAAGTCACTCACACATGGGCTTTGTATATTTGGGGTGTCTGTGAACCACATGCCTCCCGGGTGCCTGTGGAGGACAGAGGAGGGTGTTGGGTCTCCTGGGACTAGAATTATAGATAACTGGTTATGTGGGAATTGAAACTGGTTCTCTGGAAGACCAACCAGTGCTCTAAACCACTGAGCCACCTCTTCCGCTTCCCCTCTCTCTACTTTCTAATAAAGCATGCTAATGAATTAGTAAGTCTGTCACCTCCTTAAGCGTGCATTACATGAACCAAAGTCCTTCCAACGGGCTGACACATTCTTATTTAGATACTTAGATACTCAAAAAAAGATAATTACATTCTGAAGAAAATTAACATCTTTTATGCTAGCTAGTTTTATCATCGTGACAGACACTAGAGTTATCTGAAAGAAAGGAACCTCAGTTGAGAAAATGCCTCCATAAGAACCATCTGCAGGACATTTTCTTAGTTAGTGATTGATGGGGGAGGGGTCAGCCCATGCCGGCAGCGTCCAGGTTCCTGCCCTGCCTGAGTTCCTGTCCTGACTCCCTTCAGTGATGAACAGTGCTGTGGAAGTGTAAGCCAAATCAACCCTTTCCTTCCCAAGTTGCTTTGGTCATGGTGTTCAATCATAGCCAATAGTTCAAGCAAACTTTACAGAGGACACTTGGAATGCAAACATTTAACATCTTAGATACAATGGCTTATTCTCTAGCCTTCCCCAATGACCTAATGTCTAGATCAGAGTCTCCCTCACCTGGTAATCCTGAGGTATGAAGTTATCAATGATGAGCATCTGCAGCCGCAGCTCACGGCTGAGCTGCCGAATGTTCTCCAGGAGGCCTTCAATTTCCCTCTGATGCTCTTGCTGGAGATCAGCCATCTAGCAGAGAACCCATGACAGTGTAAGGTAAACAAGACTTGAAGCACACTGAACCTAGCCCAGGGCACTAGTCTATGAGGCCCAGTAAAAACTGGCCCAGTTCAAACAGACTGACACCATCGTTGGCTATTTCAAATCACTTATAGCTGGGGGGTAGAGGGGGCAGGGGGATGTAGGGGAGCTTAATAAGTAAAATTTAAAATATAGAGAAAGAAGTGTTTTAAGTGTTTTAAAACTGTAAGCACACAAAGCCAGGGTGGGTGGCACATGCCTTTAGTCCCAGCAGAGGCAGAGGATCTCTGAGTTCAAGAGCATCTTAGTCTAAAGAGTGAGTTCCAGAATGGTCAAGGCTACACCAAGAAAACAACAACAACAACAAAAAACTTGTCTCAAAAACAACAACAACAAACAAACAAAACTGCAGGCACACATTAAGACTCTAAACTGCATTATAGGCTATCAACCTCTGACTTTGCAGCCATCAGCATGGTCCAGACTTTCTTTAATTTCTTCGTCTTTCCTTGTGCCTCCTCTTGCAGACTGGTGTATTTTTCCTCGATGTCCAAGCGTTCTTGCTATGATAAGAACAGATTAACTTTAGAATAATTCCCTTAAGTACAAACTCAATGTAACAAATGATGTAGACGTTTGGCAACTATTGTCTTCAAAATGACCCACAATCTGCTTCCCATTTCATTTTCAGTGTTCAGAACCAAGCATTTGATTTGGGTGTCATGGCATCACCTCTTTTTCCTCTAGTTCTTTCCGAAGCTGCTCAGCTCTCCTCCTCCGCTCCTCCAGCTCCATATTGGACTCCTCAAGAAGCTTCTCTTGCTCCTCAGCCTTGGCCAACAAGTCCACACCACCGACAATTACCTTCTTCTCCAAAGCAGACAGTTTTTCCAGCAGAGACTGATGTTCTTGTCTATGATTAAAAGAACATCCTAGAGTCCTGTCATCTGCTTTTCTAATCTCACTGCCCCAATGTAAGTGGGACCAGAAGAAGCATGCTGAATAGAAAGTCAGTCATGTGATCTCTCTCCAAACCATACCACTACATAGCATTAACTCATCACCTAAGGTATGATTCACATTGGCCAATATTTTCTCCTACAGGGCGAATAAATGGTCAGAAAGATCCAAGTCTTAGGACTATCTCACCCTCAGTGGACCCACCATTCACCCCAAACAGCTATGCTGGAGATGAAAATCACGCTTTTGGTTGTTTTTTAATTGATTTTCCTGATATACCATCCTGTGAACTCTCAAGCCCACTAGCATCCCAGCACACTCACTGGGCTTTCAGAAGGTCCTTCTCCCGTCTCTCTAGCTCAGCTCGAGCCTTGTTCCTTTCTTCTTCTTCCATGTCGAGTTTGGTTTCCAGTGCTTTTCTCTCCTCATCAATTTTCGCTTGCATTTCCACCATCTTATCTGGGGAAACTTTCTTTTTACCTATTTGAGTCATGAAATTAAAGCAGTCACTAAAACCAGTAGGTGCTTCAGACATAAGAATCAGCTTAGTATAGTGATGGCTATGCTCAATCATCAACAGAGAATGTTAAACTTCTGCTTCTACTTAGTAGTTCCTAGGATTTTTTTTAATTCATTAATAAATTCAAACTGTTGTCCAACTGTCTAGTGATATGCAAAGGAGAAAATGAAGATGAACAAAATAGATGAGCAGAAAATAGGGAAAGAAAATTAACAGGAAAGCAAAAAAAAAAAAAAAGCAAAGCCTGTGGGCCTCCAAATAGCACAAAGAAGCTAAAAAGGAAAATAATTTTTCAATCGCTTTCACACTCGATCTGTAAGCTATTTATTTAAGGCAGACATGTCACACTGGTAAGCCGCCCTGATAAATCATACATGAACCACAAAAGTAACTTACTATGTCAAACTAGATCCTCAAAGTCCCTACTCAGATCAAACACACCACATATGAAGCCAGCAGAAACACTGCCAGCTAATAAGGCTGAGAGCGGCTTCCAACCGACAACAGCACACTACTGTGTGCAGGTATATGCAGCCTGCTCACATCAAGTTCACCAGAGAACCTGAAAATCATGAAGTTATATGAAAAAAAATCACAAAGACAAAGCAAGCACTACCTTAATGGTTCTGAAACTGAGCCAATGACAATTCATTTGTGGTTGATGCAAGTTCTTAGAAATGTGTTCCTTCAGAACAACAAGCATTTCATAGAACTGTCAGGCCTGAGGCTCTCCTGAAAGCTTGTAATTCTCAACTTCCTTCCCAAGGGACAAGGACAGAGGATTATAAACTAATACCTCTACCCCAAAGCCAGCCCCTCCTGCTAAGAAGGAAAAGGAACTGAAAACCAATCAGGAGGGGCTACAGATCTGAGTAGACTTCTGCAAGAGGCATGAAAGGCAGGATCATGCGGAGGCTTTTTCAACTCTTAAGACAAAATCACATTAGGAATTCAAGAGTTTAACAGCATCCTTCCTTCTTCAGAACCAAAGTCTAAAGCAAAATCTAAGCACAGAACCAAAGAGGAGATAAGAGCTGTGATCCAGGCGGCTGGTGTGGTGTGATTCACTGCACTCCGTGCCGGAGGTGGCCTGGGCCTAATGGTACGGCCATCTACCTTGAACCTTCAGAATTATGCTGTGCAGAACAATTTTCACAAACAATTTAATTCCTATTGAATTGTTTATTCCCAATGAATTCCTTGAAAAGACTTTCTATCAATAATAACTTATTAAAACTTTGAGAAGAAAAGTCTAAGCCCAGGTGTACAGGAAGTACATACACATTAAAACATGTGACTTCCACCTCAGGGTTACAAACGCTTAAAGAAAATGGTAAATACGTTAAAACAAAACCAGCGTGTGTAGAAGGCATGGATACTAATAATATAGATGAGATTGTTCAGATCAATACGTGAACGTAATTTTGGTACTGTTTTGTTTTGCTAATAGTTATAAACAGCTCCAAAAACCCATCAGGAGGTAGTAATAAAAAACAGAGTTGCATAGAAAAAATGTATAAATGCTATCTGTTGCTGAGGTGATCACCTTACATGGTGATCACTTCAAACCCATGCTTTAGATGCAAGCATCTCACTGTGCTCAAGAGGGTTTCATGAAGACACTATGCACACAGCTAGGGTCAGTTCAAAGGTCCACACATTCAAGTCCCATGTGGCTCTAGCCAGAATCACTGTGACAAGTCACATTATTTTTTTCAAGTAACACTTTAAGCTAAATAGACTGTGTAAAAATTTGATGACCAAGAAGGAGTAACTTACATAGATCTTTAAAGGATGAATTTGTATCCTGTGCTCCCCTAGATACAAACCTTAGCCTCCAGTGGGCTGCTTTCCACTGGGGACTGCTGTGAGGAGCCTGAAGTGGTCTGCCTTCTGTGCCCTCCAGGAGCACTCTGACCCCTCCAATGGCACAAGAGCCTACATATACTTCTTAAGAAATGTTTAAAGGAGGTGGGGGCATAGCTCAGTACTTGGCCACCATGTGGAAAGCCCTGGCTTCATTCCTGGGACCACACACACAGTTTCACCAACCAAATCAATAAAGAAGCAAAACAAAACAGCACTCACAAAACCTCCAGAGGGTTTGAAAAAACCCAACCTCAGAAACTTTTCTAGTCCTCACTGATAAAATTTAGCGCAAAAAGTTTAAGTACATAAATCTGAAAAGGCACGTTGATAGTATAAAAAGTGTTTAGCTAAGTCAAAGAGAAGTAGTGAGCCTTCCAGTGCCCAGTTTGCCAGGTGCCACCGAAGTGAAGGTGACCTGGTGGGGTGGGCAAGGGTGGGGCTGCAGTAAGTGACAACTCGACTAATGTCGTGTGTCACACGCAGCCATAGTGTAGGCAACAAGAACTGACTCGTGGCCTTCAAAAAACGAGGAAAACGCCTGGATGTCAAATGGGGTATAAGTGTATTTTCAAACACTGGCTTAATGGATCTTTAAGGATTTACGAGGGAAGGTTTTTAAAATAGCTAAAATGGAATTGTTCTAAAAAGACAGATACTTACCTTGTAAAAATTATTAAAAAAAAAAAAAAAAGTCAAGTACTTAAATAAAAGGTCTTGAGAAAATGAGTAAGTGCACCAGGTGAAGTGCCAGCCAATCACACCAACCTGCTTGGTCTTGCAAAGAAGCGGTAAGCGAGTCGCAGACAGGAAGCATGTGCACAGAGATGAGGAGGGAAGAAAGGAAAACATTATTTCCTTTGTAAAACAGAGAAAATGTGTAACAGCATTCATTTGGCATGAGCACAGACATAAATCAAATAATCAAAACTGAAATAGAGCCAACAGAAAAAGAAAGCATGTTCCATAGACAATCACGAATGCTGGACTCAGTTCACCCTGTGGCCCCGCGAATCTCAGGTGCCCAGAGTAGCCCCTGCAAGTGATGCCGCTCAGGGCACGTGCTTATGCTGATGGATTACAGACATGGAATTGGGAACCTGCCAAGACCTGGAAAGTATCTAAAAGGGCAAATGAAGTCAATTTTTAAAATTAGTAAATTAAAAGTAGCAAAGTTCTCATTGTCCATTTCCAAAATTTCCCAATTCAATGTTTTTTTTTAAATATATATATATATATATATAAACCCATTACAGGTGTCCCCCATTTAAAGAAAATGTACCAGGTAGACCTGAAGCAATGAAATAGATAAACTAATTTACAGTAGTTTATACTGATCATGTGACTAACAAAAGGTTAATGAATTTTAAAAGCAGACAGTTCATAATATTGTATTTTCCAACTTGATTGGTAAGCAGCTCTAATGAGATAAAATGAAGTGCACCTGTAGAGTAGCAAACTTACATTCAGCCTGTGGGTACATTGTTCTGGGTAAGTAATGACTAGAGAAATAAATGACAACTGATGATTCAAGCAAGGGACATTGAACGGCCATTTATATTTTTTAATGGGAGGGGACATACACACAAGTTACACACAGCAACCACATGCTGGGACGATCATCTCTCCACTCCCCAATACAGCCATGTTACAACAACAGAAAGTAAGTGTTAAGTATGCAAACAACAATTAAAGCTTCTTGAATTGGAAAAAAAAGGTCTTGAATTGAATAAGGTACAACTCATTTCACAACCTACTTTCATGTAACTACTCTCTAAGAATGGTAAGTTTTAGAACAGAAAATTAAAGAACAATGCTTCCTGCTCAGATATTTTTCTCTCACTTCACAGTTTATAATAAAAAAAACTGTGTTTCTATGTGATGTCTGAACAATGCCGTCTATTTTATAAATTATCCGGTGAGGTCAGCTGTTCTGGTAACTTGCTTCAACAGTGTCACAGACACAGTGTCTTGAGATTCTTGAGATAGTCCCTAGTAAAGCTAAAAGCAATGGTTTCTGTCATTCGTCTGGGGAAGGCAAGGATACAGATAATGCTTTAAGAGACAGCAAGCTGCAAGTTGGGGGGAGCAAGCATCGCTTCCATTTTCTTCTGAAAGTAGAAATAGACAAAATTAAATAATGCTTTTCAACTTAATGGTTTACAAAAAAAATCTAAGTCTGAAGTAAGTCGAGACAGAGTTCATGAGCTCTGTGTGACTGAGGTTTCTGATCACATCTCATGGAGTCTTAAAACTGACCTGGTTAGGAAGCAGGGACGCATCCGGTGGGGATGAAACACTACTCAGTCTTCTCTACCTGCCTCAGGCGTCACATGTCTCTTTACATGGAGCATGTACAGCTTGTTACAACGCGTGCTGCTGCACCAACAAACTTTAATTTGTGTTTTAGAGATTCAAGATTTGTTGTCCGTGTCTTTTACACTGATCAGAATTTAAGGTGTAGAACGAGGCATAAGAAAGAATGCTGAGAATTATCCTTTCACACAGCTTACTAGCTCTCTTTACATTATCTCAGCGGCAAAAGCATGATTCTCTCTTCCACTGTCTCAAACATAGACTCTGGCCTATGTTTCACAGTTAACTGAAGCCATGGCAGGGTGGGGATGACATGCTTGTTCTAGTGGGAGCCCAACATGGACCAGTCATGACAGGGAGTGGGGCAGCATCTCCCAAATGAAGCCCATGAGTGATGGAGAAGCCAGAGCTCTGTTAGAAAAGGTGAGGGCCGCCACTCACGAGGCAAGAACTCATCCAGGGGCTTCTCTATGACAGAACATGTGGAGTCTGAGCTACTGCTGCTGCTACTGCCTGGAAGACAAAGAAACGAGCCCACGGCAACCAGAGAGAGGAACAAGATTGAACAAGTACACAGAGAAAACCCGAGTTCTGCAGGAGGAACTCAGAGGACACTAAAGCTTCGCATTCAAGCAGGACTCACTCCAGCTTGAAGCTAGGGAGCCCCGACACTGAACTCTCCCACACAGCCACGCGTTTCTTTAAAGATCTGCAGCAGTGGCACCCCCAACTCATCTAATAAAGCGTAACTACTCAGAGGGTTGAAATGACAAACATCTCACTCGGTGACAGCCAAGTCTATTTAAGCTGCTAAGAAAGAGAAACAGCTTTAAACCATAAAGTCACACAATTCACGTTATAAATAAGCTGTTCTTCATCATAGACAACACTCTCTCCAACTCCCCCACTGCCCCGCAAGACATCAAGCTACCAGACTTACTTATGTTTAAAGCTTCAGAGTATAACTGATGAGGCTCACCGAAAAATGTGAGGCTTCTCAGCACATATTACTTTAAAATATCTTAACAGATTAAACAATGGCACTTTTTTTCTACATAAAATTTACTTTTAGTAAAATTTTCTACTATCTGCTTTCAGGTCAGAAAACAAACTAGCTATGAAAGTCAGGGACAGCTGATGGGTTTTGCAAAAGGACCAACAGCCAGGCCACATGCTTTAGTGTGAAAGAGCCAGAGACCACACATAAACAAATGAGCATGGCTGTTTTGAAACACTTTATTTGCAAAAGCAGGTTCCCGTGGATTTGGCCAGCACACTATAGTCTGCCAACTTCTGCCTTACAATGGTGCTTTTTCTGTGCTTTGATTGAACAGAATCTTCAGTTTTGATTTGGGGTCCCCACCAAGCGGTGAGGGGTCTGTTTTCAACAAGACTGGTTAACTAGGAATGTGCAGCGGCCTGCAGTGACTGAGGAGGTCTGAGTTTGAAATTATCCTTTTCTATGTGCCGCCTGCAGCCTAGGCACCACAGGTCTAAAGGGTGAGAACGACAGAGTTCACAAAGAAAGGAATTCAACCAAAACCTGTAACCCTCATTCAAATTCAGCTCCTGCACATGATTTTAAAAAACTAACATCCCTTGAAAAGAAATCCCGCACTGTCCTAATCTCAAAAGCAGATAGGTAACTAACAAAGATGTAAAACTGCATGACCGTGTGTCTACCAACACAGTTTTACAACTTAAAATTTTACAATCGATGATACGGCACTCTAGGTCAGCAAGATAAACAACCGAGTTCACAAGATCAACCGCATGTAGCATGCACTCCCTGCTGGATCCACTACCTTAATTAAAAATAGCAAATGAAAAGTGGACACTGAATCATCAGGGAGCAGCTCTAGCCAGATCCAACTGGTTAGAGCATGAGCAGAACTTACCCCTTCTCTTTTTCCTTTTTTCTCCATCTTCTCCAAGTTCACCCTCCTCGTCATCCTCCTCTGACCCACTGACGTCAGAGCCTGACACTTCTTCCCCTTGGACAGAAATTTAACAATGACTTTTAGTCTGTTACCAAGTCATTATGGGCTATTCAGAAAATGTCTATTACCTGTTCTCCTCATTAAGTTTTTGTTGTATCAAATACAAACTGAAAATCCATTTAAATGTTCTGGATAGTATATCTGATGTTTAAACTTAGAGATAAGGAAGGGCAGGTGGAGCCCGCAGGATTCCTGGAGTTTGCTGACAAGCTAGCATAGCTGACTTGGTGAATTCCAGGCCATTGAGAGATCCTGTCTTCCCCTGGTCCCACCAAGAGGAACACCACCTGTGCTGTCCTCTTGTCTCTAAGCCTGTGCACAGATCACACACACTATGTACACATACATTTTATTTTACTTTTTTAGAAAAAAATTTATTGAGACAGGATCTCACTATGTAGCTGACTGGCCTGGGACTCAAAGCACTCTGCCTGCATCTGTCTCCTGAGTGCTGGGATTAAAGGTGTGTACCTTCATATCTAGCTAGAAATTTTATTTTTACAGTCCTGAAAAAGAAGTTAAAATCTGACTGGGCAGTGGTGGTGCACACCTTTAATTCCAGCACTTGGGAGGCAGGGGCAGGCAGATTTCTGAGTTCGAGGCCAGCCTGGTCTACAGAGTGAGTTCCAGGACAGCCAGGGCTATACAGAGAAACCCTGTCTCGAAAAACCAAAAAAAAAAAAAAAAAAAAAAGAAGAAGTTAAAATCTGATCCACTGTGAATACAACTTTAAACACACACAAGGGTCACTTTTAAAATCCTGATGGTGAGCTGGAGATGGCTCACTGGTTGAGAGCACTTCCAGGGGTCCTGAGTTCAATTCCCAGCAACCACATGGTGGCTCACAACCACCTGTAATGGGATCTGATGCCCGCTTCTGGTGTATCTGAAGACAGTGACAGTGTACTCATACACATAAAATAAATAAATAAACTTAAAAAAATACTCTTAAAAAATTTAAAAAATAAAATTGTGATCATTTTGGGGAGTATTTTCTCCTGTTTTCTGCTTAAGACTTCTATCTTTGTTTAACATTGTATGTATGTAGGTGTTTACAGATGGCTGGAAGCCACTGTGTGGGTGCTAGAAATAGAAAGCAGGTCCTGGAGAAGAGCAGTCAGTGCTCTTAGCCACTGAGCCATCTCTCTAGTCCCCTGACATTTGTTTTTACAGAGTCACAAGTCTTTGGAAGCTGCAAGAAAGAATGCCAGTGGACTGAGGCTAGACTGTGCCTCTACATGAGACTATATCAAAAAGATCAAGTGAACAGTCATAAACTGTCATTTCACGCAGGTCTCACTAGAACTGGCAAAGTCTGGGTAGTCTGCAGGTTGGTGAGTAGTTCTGAACCAGCATTTCCTGGGCTCAGAAACAAGACTCTGGTGTGCATAATACCATGCATGGGCAGATGGAAACTCTCCATAATATATGAACTTCCACAAGCCTCAAATTATTTTAAAATAAGTTTATAAATTATTCATCTCATGCTTTTGCCTACATTTTATTGTTTATGATTATTCTATTAACTAGATCATAAAAAAGAGCACAGGGTCAGAAGGACACAATTAAGTGAAGCCCATCACAAACAATATGCCTGACGACTGCCTCTGGGTACATGCCAGGACCACCTCACAAGTACTTGACCATGTGTGTAACCAATGTGCACAGTCACACCATTCAGTACAGGATTCACACCCTGAATAGAGGAACAGACACACAGAATAGCATGGAAGCAGGATGGAATCCTAGTGATCGAAGCTAGAAAGAAATCCTAACAAGGCACAGCACAGAAGAGCCCTGAAGCCCTTACACTGTGAGTAAGCCAAACACAGAAGCACAAATAATGGACAGTTTTGTTCCTTATGTGCAGTACGTAGCACAGTCAAGTGTCAACTTTTATCATGTATATTTTATCATATAAAGATGTAAAAAATAAATGAATCATCAAAATAAAGGCATGTGCTCAGCCCTAACTGGGAAGTGAAGGATCTCAGAAACAAACTGGCTATAAATGCCACCTAGTGGCCATTTACAGATAGCCACTTCCATCATCCGTGAGGTAGCTCGCTCCTGCTTTTTCTCAGCATCTGGCTTTTCTCTAGATACATGCATGGCAGGTTGGTTCCTCTGGGTTTCCCCAAGACTCTAAAGGCTGGGTCTACAAGCCTTCTGCCTGCTGCACAGGGAGCTAATACCAGTGAGAGCTCTTGTACACGGTGTGGGAGTGTCCGGAAGCCACCGGGAAGCTCCTCACCACCATCAATTGGGACTTTATCCTAGAAATTTTTTCTTAGCAGACACAAGTCCTCTGAAATATTACTTTTAAATGTCAATGTTAGGAGCCAACACATGGCTCATCAGGGAGAATATTTGCCATGCAAGCGTGACAAGAATTTGAGTCCTAGAATCAGAGTGCAAGGAGAGTAGTGACTCCCACAGGTGTCCTCTGACCCAAATGCACTGTGGCCCATGAGTGCTTGCACACACACACACGCACACACACACACACAGAGATACTTTAAAGATCGATGTTAGAGGCTATTGCCTGACAGGAAGCAAGTGCTGTGGTCCCCAGCCTGCCTTAGCCGACAGGAGTCTCTGTGAGAACTTACCTTCCTCAAGCTTTTTCTTCAGCTCTTCTATTTCTTTCTGAAATTGGCGAAGCAGAGCATCCTTCGGGTCTTCATTAATTCTAGCTTTGTTTTTAATGTTCTTGGCGCGGTTGGCATACCGCAAGGTACTGATGGTTTCATCATAATTATAATCTGCTGGCCCAATATTTGCACACTGTTGAATTAGAAACGTAAGTCATTCTACATTCTAACACCACTGTTACCAGAACATGCCCAAAGCCCACATGTAATCTGGCCTTCTTTAAACTGGTATCAATCATACACGTATGGACATGATCCAAGCAAGGGCAAGTATACAGCACATTACACAGAGAAGAGAGACTGATCTGTAACGTGCTACTCACATCAATTACAGGCATCAGCTAGAATCTTAACTCTGCCTTTTGTGAACTAACCGCCATGACTGCCATCTTACCATCATGGTTTTTGAGTTCCCTCCTAAGGAATCCTGCAGGAGACGGGTCAGTTTAGAGTTCCGATACGGCACATGAGTGCTTTTTCCATCCACCAAGGCAGAAATGACGTTGCCCAGGGTGGACAATGAAAGGTTGATTTTGGTAGCTTCCTTGAGGCGCTGTCCTGTGGCCCCAGTTTTTGCTTGTCTTTCTGACCCCTAGCAATAAACAGACAAAAATTGGGCTAATTTTTTAAAATCAAGAATGTGCTTTTTCAAGTCTGTTTTTTTAAAAAGTAAAATATCTCATATGACATCTGAAATTCACTTCAAAATAAAGAGGGAAGAAGTGAGTAAGAATAGACAAAAAAAAGCCTGGCCAGGAGCTGACAGATGTTGACATTGGGTGACATTATGATACTATATCCACTTTCGGATATCCCATAATAATAAGCACTTTGAAATTACATGTATCCATACCTCTGAGTTAATTTTTATTAACAGGGAAATGGACCCCAGAGAAGAACTTAAGTAGCACCTGGGACTTACAGCAAGATCTACAAGGTGGAGCTTCCCCATCCTGACGTGCATGTTTCCATCCACACCTTTCTCGCTGCACTCTATAGTGATTGTAAAGATGGCGTGGGATCGGGAGCTGTGCTCGTTCATATTAGTCGCACCAACAGAACCTTTAACAAAGAAAAGAAACCTGTAAAATTTAACACAGTGCCTTTATGTTTACTTTGTTAGACAGGATATGGTGTGCTGTAGCCCAGGCTATCCTTAAACTTTGGTCTCCTATCTCTACCTCTTGACTACCACCATGCCTATTTTATGCAGTGCTGGGGGTTGAACAAGGGCTTTATGCATACTAAGTAAGCAATGTACCAACTGAGCTATCCTCAGCCCAGAGAGTAGCTTAACTAATTAAATACCCACAACATTTAAAATGGTTTCATCACAGTCAAAGCCAGTAACTATGTCTAACTATTAACCACAGGTTGTGTTTGGCCATTGTATACTTCTTTTATAATTCACACTATAACCAAATAATCTGTGATGTACTCACATTATAACATAATCACAGCATAAAATTCTAAACTTCACTCAAAAATGCTACTACTATCTAAAGATTGTAACTGTCTCTGAAGCTGAACATACTGGTGTCGACTCAGGAGGCTGAGGCAGGAGGGCGTGTCAACTCAGGTAACCCAGGCCACCTCGATAACATAGCAAGACCTTCTCTCTCTTGAAAAAAAAAGAAAAGATTACACCACACAAAAAACAAACAAACAAAAAACAAAAATGTGTTAACAACAACAACAAAACCAAACCTGCTGATGACTTAAGCCTCCTTAGAGAATTATGTTTGAGACTCCAAACCATAAATGGATTTGCACACACACATCAGGGAGAATCAGGGTACCACTGTTTGAAGCTGTGAGTCCCTGAAAGACCTGGCACTATAACCTGTAACTATATAGGCTGTAAATCTACTGTGGGAGAGCTAAGTTACTACACAGCCACTGAAAACATGAGGTGGATCCACAACCATTAACATCAAAAGACACCAACACCACAGGAACTTTTCACAACACCAAGAGGTGGGCATGATGCCGCATGCCCTGAATCCCAGTGCTCAGGAGGCAGAAGCATCTCTGTGAGCCTGCTTCATCTACATATCAAGTTCCAGGCCAGCCAGGGCTATGTGTGAGACTGTATCAAAAAGAAAACCAAACATTTCAACACATGCTAAAACAGGGTGGAGGTTCATTCTTGTAATCCTAGTATACAGGAGGCTGAGGCAGGAGGATTACAAGTTTGAGGCTAGCGTGGGCAAGATAGCTCTGTCTGGCCTAAAACTCCTATGTAGACAAGACTCAGCGATCAAACTCAGCGATCCCACTGCCTCTACCTCCTAAACACTTAAAGGTATAAGCCATCATACCTGGTAAAATGTTTCTTCTCTAGAAGAAAAATCTAAAACAATTACTAGAAAGTGAAAATGTTATTTAACTTTGCTTTTCTTTTCAACAGAAGTGAAGCAGTATAGATTCTGACTAATTCAGACTAAGAGCCTAGGTTCACTACCACTTGGCAATTATATTACCTTAGAGATGGTGTTTAAACTATGCCTTGTGCTCCCAAATCACCATGGACTACAGTGAAGACTAAGCGATCATTCCCAAAGCACAGAGCAGAAGCCCCTCCTACTCACTAAGTGTTCAATCAAAATGTCACCACAACTTTAACTTGTCCAGTAGTGGGGATGGCGGGTGCCTGCCTTTAATCTCAGCATTCACAGGTAGAGACAGGCAGATCTCTGAGTTTGAGGCCAGCCTGGTCTACACAGTGAGTTCCAGGACAGCCAGGGCTACACAGAGATACTTGTCTTGAAAAAAACAAAACAAAACAAAACAAAAAAGATTTTAACTAGCAAAACTGCTTTTAATACCAACACTTGGAAGGTAAAGGCAGGAGGAGCTCTGTGAGTTCAAGGCTAACCAAGAATATATAGAAAAAGCCTGTCTCAAAGACTGACACTATTAAGAGTGCTAGAGAATTGGTCTTGGTGGTACATGTGGAGGTTTTTTTTGTTTTGTTTAAGATTTATTTATTTCATGTATGTGAGTACACTGTCAATGTCTTCAGACATACCAGAATAGGGCATTGGATCCCCATTACAGATGGTTGTAAGCCATCATGTGGTTGCTGGGAATTGAACTCAGGACCTCTGGAAGAGCAGTTAGTGCTCTTAACTGCTGAGCCATCTCTCCAGCCCTGGTATATGTATTTAATACCAGCACTTGGAAGGTAAAGGCCAGGAGGAGCTCTGTGAGTTTGAGGCCAGCCAAACAGCTAAGGACATATAGAGAAAGCCTGTCTCAAACAAACAAACAAACAAGCTTGAGAGATGACTCTGCAGTTACAGAGTGTTGACTGTTCTTCCAGCAGACTTGGATTTGGTTTCCAGAACCACATGACTGATCACAATTGTCTGTAACTCCAATTCCAGGAAGTCTGATGCCCTCTTCTGGCCTTTGTGGGCACTGCATACATGTGGTGCACTTACATACATGCAAGCAAAACATTCATACACATAAAATAAAAATTTTTTTTAAAAGATTGGTACTAATGAAAAGAAACTTTAGTCAACATGAAAAACACTCTGTGCTACTGTCCATTCAGATATATCCCCTAGTTAGTAAATAAAATGAGTGGGCTTAAAACAAAAAACTCGTCAGGCAGTGGGGGTGCACGCCTTTAACCCCAGCACTCAGGATGCAGAAGCAGGTGGATCTAGGTGAGTTCAAGGCCAGCCTACAGAGCAAGATCCAAGGTAGACAAGGCTACACAGAGAAACCCTGTCTCAAAAAACAAAGCCAAACCAACAACTAATAATAATAAAATAAAAGACTAAAACTTCAACCTCTATATAAAAAGTCATCTTATCTGCTTCTCGACCAGAACTCAGATGGACACTCCATCACAGGAACACAGCACACTTACGGTTTTTGTGGCCTAGAGTCATGATTCGATCCATGTCGTCAGCGTTGTTGACTACATACGCTGATAAATCTTTGATATATACTCCCACGTCAGGCCTTTCTTTAACCTAAAATACAAAAGTCATGCCTAAGACTTCTGTTTCTAACAGTAAGCGTTTGAGTTCCTCCGAGTATCCACTGCTGCACATGGGAAGGTACTAGGTAGGGTAGACATGAGCCACGCCTGCACTCACGGAGTGATAAAGCATAAGAATATAAGGGAATCCTGCACACACAGTTATCTGTGATGGAGCCATGAAGAAAATACAGGGCAGTCTAAGAAAGTAGTTCATGGTTCTCTCCTTCTACCATGTGGTCTCAGGGATCAAACTCAGGTGCTCAGGTTCAGTGGCAAGTCCCTTTACCTGTTGAGCACTTGGGAATGTATTCAGGGACAAGCTAGTGAAAGGAACAGGGTATCTGCCAAAGTTCCTGCCTGACCCAGCAGCCACACTTCAGTGACTTATGCCCAAACTGGTGTGTGGTGTACACTTGTAAGACATGACATATAATTTGGCAGGCAGTCTATTCTCACTTTTATTTTAACTCTAATTCCATCCTTACCTCCAACCTCTGTGTCTGATCTTTGCCCAAAAGGTCTCGAACTTCCTCATTATATATCTCCAAGTATGACACACGAACCAAAAACCTGTAAGGACAATGGTGGAACAGTCAGTGTCTGAAAGGTGGTTATAATTTCCATGCCTCTAGGTCTTTCTGGTCGGAGCCTCTCAATATTATGAAACGGATGCAATCTCACCTTGTGTCGCCCTCTGCCTTTGCGATGTGACCGAATATGTGAGCAAATGAGTTGGGGATAACCCCTCTGAGCCCTGGCACTGCGCGGACACCTTCCATGGTGAAAGTCTTGCCTGTCCCAGTCTGTCCATATGCAAAGATGGTACCTAAGAATGGTGCAGACCGTCTGTTACTCCAGAGTCTGATGAATCTTAAAACTAAGCCTTTTGATCCTGTTATGTAACATATCCCCTGAATTAAAACTCCATTCTACACCTTGGCACAACAGTACACATCTACAATGCCAGCAGTAGAAAAGAAGAGGTAGAGGTCACTACAAGTTTGAGGGTAGCCTGGGCTATATGGCACATTCCAGGTCAGTTGGGGCTACATAGTATGACTCTGGGCTACATAGTAAGACTCTACCTTAAAAAAAATTGAACAAAAACATATTCTAGTATATGTTTGCCCTTTAGTATCAACATATACAATAGGTGTTATGCCAAATAAGCAAAAAATTGTTAAAGCACCATGATCAACAAAACATTCCTAATAAACTTTAAAAAGTATCCTAAGCCCTAAATGCAAAATTCTTACACTGGTTGGGCCTGGTGATACATGCTTTTAATCTCAACACTCAGATTTTAAAACAGGCAAAAGGATTTCTGGGATTTTGAGGCTAGATTGGTCTACATAGTGAGTTACAGGCCAGCCAGGGTTCCACAGTGAAATCCTGTCTCAAAGAAAAAGCCGGGCAGTGGTGCCGCAAGCCTTTAATCCCAGCACTTGGGAAGTAGAGGCAGGCGGATTTCTGAGTTCGAGAGTTCGAGGCTAGCCTGGTCTACAGAGTGAGTTACAGGACAGCCAGGGCTATACAGGGAAACCCTGTCTCGAAAAACCAAACCAAACCAAACAAAAAAAGAAAAAGAAAATAAAAGTCACACTGCAGTTAGTTCTAAGATACTAAGTTGGAAGGAGTCATTAAACTGGAGGCAGTAAAACACAGCACAGACTGCAGCAGGCATTAGAGCAGGAACCTCTGAGTCTATCATACCTGAACTCCTTAACCATCTGACCTTAGATTAACTTCCTAGAGATAAAACAAGAGTGAGATGACTTGCTCCACATACCAACAGTAAGAATCAAATGAAGCTATTGACTGACATCGAGGAATCAACACACGCCTGGTTGAGAATATCGGTAAAATGGTATTTTCTTCTTTTGAATCCTAAAATAATTCACTATTTTAAAAGAAACTGTCTAAAGTAACAGTTGTGAAATACTATTAACTAGAAAAGTGATAATTATTATAGGTGACCGGTTATGACTTACACTTTTTTTTTTAAGATTTATTTATTATATATGAGTACATTATAGCTGTCTTTAGACACACCAGAAGAGGGCATCAGATCCCATTACAGATGGTTGTGAAGCCACCATGTGGGTGCTGGGAATTGAACTCAGGACCTCTGGAAAAGCAGTCGGTGCTCTTAACCACTGAGCCATCTCTCTAGCCCCGACTTATACTTCTTAATGTACCTACCCATTTAACAAGTATTCTCCACCCATGCCTAAGCATGACATGGACGAGGCACCAAGAACAAAGTGACAAATAGGGCGAATACAAACTCTGGTCTTATGGTGGAGAAACAAATCTAGACAGAAGTACAGACATAATCTGGCCAGGGGTGGCTGGGAAGGAAGAAGATGAGGTCAGGAAATTCTCTTCACAGGAGGTGAGCTTACACTAAGATTCAAAAAGTGCAAGAACCAGAAGGTGGAGAGGAGAGCAAAGACTCCTAGGAACTGGAGCAGCCAGGATGGGAAGGAGAGATGAAAATGGAGGATGGACCCACAGAGAGCAGAGAGACTCACAGGACCCTGATCACACCAGCTCACTGTGAAGCAGCATGATAGTCCTGTCAGAGCTGCAGCCTCAGATCACTGTGGAGACACAGCGAGTTAGAGAGCTGGGGCAGTTGGCCAGGACTCTGCAGAGTGAACCTGAATGTGAATGCCAGGTTTCGGGAGACGACGGTACGGCCATGCCAGCACACTGGCTTCAGTGCATTTGGCTCTGACGGGGACAGCCACACTGAGAAGGCTCTGCACACACAGCACTGGGGTCCATCAGAGTTGTCTATACTTAGCTGTTGATTTTGCTGTGAACCTAAAACTGCTCTAAGAATACAGTCTACTATTATTTCTTGACATTGGGTCTTGCTATGTTTCCCAGGCTAATCTTGAACTCTTGGTTTAGGTGATCCTCCTACCTTGGCCTTCCAAGTAGCTGGTATAGGCTTGCATCACTGAACCTAGCTAACACTATTTTAAAACAGGTAAAGATTAGTAACTACCCTTGAGAATTCTAAATATTACACCCAAATTACATTGTAGTAATGGAGAATGAATTGCACTGTGTTACATCATTCCTAAGTATTATCTCTTCCAAACTGTCCTACATAGTGAAACACTAGCTAAAACAGGGGGTTGGGGGTGGGCTGGAGAGATGGCTCAGCAGTTACGAGCACTGGCTGCTCTTCCAGAGGTCTTGAGGTCAATTCCCAGCAACCACATGGTGGCTCACAACCATCTGTACCAGGATCTGATGCCCTCTTCCGGTACATACATAAAAGAAATTTTTTAAAAAATGTTTTTTAAGCCGGCCGGTGGTGGCGCACGCCTTTAATCCCAGCACTTGGGAGGCAGAGGCAGGCGGATTTCTGAGTTCGAGAGTTCGAGGCTAGCCTGGTCTACAGAGTGAGTTCCAGGACAGCCAAGGCTATACAGAGAAACCCTGTCTCGAAAAACCAAAAAAAAAAAAAAAAATGTTTTTTAAAAAGGCAAATTCAGAAAATGTGCTCAGAGATTTCTCAGTAATTGATAGAAAAGCTGTCCATCCCAGCAAACCAACTGACGAAAGTTACCTCTGCCTCAGCAGCAGAACACACAACCTTCTCACACAGACACAAGCATTTAATAATAAATTACATTCCAGGAAAGAAAACAATAACCTCATTAGACTCTAATCACATGAAGTATGTTTGCTATCTAAAATGAAAATTGGACAAGAATCTAAAGAAGACCGCTGGAAAACCCTCAAAACATCTAAATAGCACATACAGGTAGAGTATCAAAGAAGGGGCTGGGATGGCTGGTTCAACTGGTAAAGTGCTTGCCGCACAGGCACACGGACCTGAGTTCAGTCACAACAGATAAGCCAGAGGTGGGGCATGTGCCTGGATTCAAGTGCTGGGCAGGTGTGGATGGAGGACCCCGGGCTCACTAGACAGCCTGCCCAGTTCTCAGTCTCAGAAACCAAGGGAGATCCTCCTGAAGACTAGCACTCAAGGTTGACCTCTGGTCTTCAAACACGTGTGCATAATACACATGCATGCACATTGGCACACACATGAGGGCACAAATACATAAACACACACACTCAAAGTAAAACAGAAAAACCTAGTGACAAACTTCAAAAGAACAAAACTACATTTGAAAATATGTAATATTACATTCCTGCAAGAAAGAAAAGACAGTCAGATAAGCAAAACAAATACCTGTGAGCAAACTGAACTAGAAGAGAGGCTTCCTCAGTCTGACGGAGACCGTGTGTGGGAACTTACAGCTAACATGAGGTTCACCCTCAGCTCAGGAGCAAGACAACAATGTCCACTCTTCCAACTGTGCTCTACACTTACTGAATTTTCTGGCCAGGGTTTCAGGCAACAAAAGTAAATTAAAGGCAAAAGACTACAAAGAAAAGTAAAAACTGCCTTTACTGGCAGACAATATAATTATGCATGTAGAAAATCCTAGAGAAAAATTTTTTTTTAAAGCATAAAGGTCTAGATTTTGAACTCCAGCCCCTAACCCAGGGCCAAACACTAAAATGTGACAAGAATGATTAAGTTTAGCAAGCTTGCAGAATATGAGGTCGATATGAGACAGCACTTTGTGCCATTAGGATGACACTACTAAAATGACAATAACAGATGCTGACAAGGGCACTGGGAAACTGGAACCTTCACATTGCTGGAAGGAATGTAAATGACAATGTCATTATGAAATACACTTTGGCAGGTCTTCAAAAGGTCAAAGAAAGTAACCCCATGACTCAGCAACTCCACTCCTAGGTGTGTAGGTTCAGAAAAGTTAAAAGCTTGTACAAGAATATGCTAAGCAACATTACTCCTAATAGGTAGAAAGTAACAATAGCCCAAATGTTCAACAGATGAATGTACAAACAAAAAGTATCTATATGAGGGAATACTATTTGGTGATGACATGAATGAATGAATACTGATATACTCTACAATAAGAATGAACACAGAAAACACTATGCTTAATCAAAGAAGCCAGATAAAAGATTATGCAGAATGTGAGCCTCTTTTATGAAATGCCAGGGCAGGAAACTCCAACAGAGTAGTGGCGTTGAGCGGACTGAAGTGGCTGAAACATGGACCCAGATTCCCTCTTGGGTTGCTGGAAACAGTCTAACAACAGGGAGTGGCGACAGTTTGCACTCCATGATCCACTGAAAACATATTAATCCTATACTGTGAATGATGAGTGAATTTATGTCACTTAAATTTTAACTTAATAAAAACTACTTAAAATTAAATGTATTTCTGTATATTAATAACAATACTTAATTCCAATATGAAATTATGCAAAAAATTCTATTTACAACAAAATGCCAACTAGTTGGCAAGAGAGATGGCTGAGTAGGTAAGACACTTGCCACCAAACCTGACACCTGAGTTTGATTCCAGGAATCTCCATGGTGGAAGGCAAGAATGGCTCCCTGAAGTTGTCTTCTGATTGCTGTATGAATGCCTTGGCATACATGTCCTCACATAAGAAATTTCTTAAGTTCATAAGAATCATGTAAAAACTATTAAAAGAAGTGAAAGGTTTTAAGTGAGCAAGACAGAGTCGTGTTAATGAAACATAAGATGCAGTACTGTCAATAGAGGATTTAAACACAACTGTGATCAATACCCAAAGGTATTTCATGGAAACTGCTAAGGTGGTTATAAAATCTAGAGGAAAACACAAAGGGCAAAACCAGCTGTGGAAACAGACAGGCTAAAAAGCCAACCAAGCTGGAGAATGGTTACTACCTCATGGCTGCTACCTAACTTCAACAGTACTCTAAAACTATCAAGGCAGACTGGACACGGATCAGAACAAGCAGTTCAAAAGTAAGCACGGACACACATTTAGGTCAATTGATTCTGACAACCCCCACCCCACAAAAGCCATTTCAATATCAAAAGAAGGAACTTCTTGCTGTTTTGTGGATTTTTCCTCCTCCACCCCCCAGAGAAGGTTCTTCTGTGTAGCCCTGGCTCCCCTAGAACTCCGCTTTGCAGACCAGGCTGGCCTCATACTCAGAGATCTGCCTGCCTTTCCTCCCAAGTGCTGAGATCAAAAGCACAATGCTGGAACAACTGGACGGACAGACGGACACACACACACACACACACACTTACTTCCCATTTGACAATAGTTTCTAGGTAGCTATCCAAGACAAATTTTACATCTTTACAAAGGCATACAGCAGCACTATTTATCTAACAAAAAAAAATCTAGACTTCAATCAACTGGTAAAAGTGTAGTGCATTACATACAATGGAATGCAATTCAGAGGTGGAGGCTGGAGAAGCAAAAAGAAGTTCAAGAGTTCAAGGCTAGCCTCAACTACTAACAAGTTTAAGGTCAACCTGGGAAATATGAGACCCTGTCTCAATAAAGCAGCACAACTCAGCAGTTCACACACACACACACACACTAAATGAGGTATGGTGGCACAAGCCTTTAATCTGAGCACTAGAGAGGCAGAGGCAGGAAGACAGGAAGATCTCTTGAGGTCAGCCTGGTCTACAGATGACAACCAGAGCTACAGAGAGAAATCATCTTTAAAAACCAAAACCAAACTAACCATCCAAAATAAAATAAAGTAGATAGGGGCTGGAGAGATGGCTCTGCAATTAAAAGCCCTTTAAGCTCTTCCAGAAGACCTAGATACAGTTACTAGAAGGAACTCACATGGTGGCTCACAACCCAAAGCCCTCTGTGGCCTCTTGAGGGCACCAGGTATGCACATGGTCCACATACTTACAGGCAAACCCTCACTCATACACATAAATACAAATAAATAAATCTTTTTTTTTCTGAAGTCACAAAGTTACTGATAATATATATAAAGACAGTGTAAAATTAAAAACACTACACAAAAAGAAAGAAAACTGCTTTTTAAAAGGTAGCATTTTATGGGCTGGAGAGGTGGCTCAGGAGTTAAGAGCACTGGCTGCTCTCCTGAGGTCCCAGGTTGGATTCTCAGCACCTACAAAGTGGCTCACAACCCTGGAACTCCAGTCCCAGAATTGCCTGCCCTCTTTTGACTTCCAAGAGCACCGAAAGCAGGTAGAGCAAGCGCAGACGTACATGAAGGCAATATACTCCAACACAGAAGATAAACATAAATCTTTGAAAATAACAGGATGGCATTTTATGATGTCATCTAAATGAATTTTCAAAGGGACAAAACTACCGTGATGTGATGGCAGGTCAATGGCTGCAGGTGGGGGCTGCAAAAGGGGAGGGGAGGAGCGCTGGAGATGACACTGGCGTCCTATACAGGACCTGAGGGAGGCCTCACAATCGTCTGTTACCATGACTCATCAAGCTGTAGTTGTGATACATAAACTGCCTATTTTACCGGGTATTACTCATACAACAATAAAACTCGTGTGTGTGTGTGTGTGTGTGTGTGTGTGTGTGTGTGTAAAGCAAGCTGCATAGTCACTCACCATTGTAGCCTTCCAGAACAGAATCAATAATTGGTCTTGCAGTTAAGTTATACACATCAAGTTGTTTACTTTCTGGTCCAAACACAGTATCGAAAGTAAATGTCTTTGGAGGTTCGTTGGAGGAGTCGGTCTTATGGACTGTGATAGTCCCCCTCATCTCATCCACGCTGACGGCCTGTCTATAGCACATGGCTTTCTCTCTCTCGTTGAGAGGCCGGCACCTAACAACCACCTTCACGTTATCACAGCTTTCCGGCTTCTCCGATTTATTGATCTGGTGGAGACAGTGTTTATAAGGAATGAAAAGAACATTCATTTTGCCCAAAATATAGTTGGAAAAGACTTTTCCACCTCAGCACCCTGAATGTGCTAAGACGTCACAAGTCTCTGTTAAATACAATTAAAGAACCCTACATACACAGAAAGAATTTATCAGGATACAAACGGAGAATGTTTCTTTTGCAATACAAAAGAGGGGAGAGAAAACTCTAATTTACATCTGTAGCAAATGCTTTGAGTGCAGAAAATGAGCTAGTATACACATCATTAGCTCAACAGGACACAGCATCCTCTCAAGTTCCTGCCTGCAAAAAACCACTCGTGACCATGGTTGGCAAGCTTTATTAAGAATGTATGAGGTCAAGCTGGGTGCTGTGGTGCACACCTTTGATCCCAGAACTCTAAGAGGCAGAGGCAGGTGGATCTCTGTAAGTTTGCAACCAGCCTATATAATATAGTGAGACCCTGTCTCAAAACAAACCAATAAGGTTTGAGGTCCTTCGCTCTCCGATGACATCCAGTTTCATTTCCTAGAATGCATTTGTAAAATTTTTACCATACATACATGGCTTACCTCTCTACACAAGACAAGGACAGAGAAGGCCAATGACATACAGAGAAAAATGTCTTATGAACGTTTATATAAAGTTTCGATTTTCAAAATTTTACATGAAAAAGAAACTAAGTCCGATCCTATTAGTATCAATATGCTTCTCTCCAGTTTCGCCTTCGTCGTCCTAGGCTAGGTAACCATCACCTGGGCCCTGCATTAGTCTCTTAATTATGTACGCTCCTGAATCTAATTAAACTGCCCTTCAGTCTGTTCTCTTACACGATGGTGTAAACACAAACCAAATGACATTATTCTTCAATGTAAAAATGTCTCCAGATGACAAGCCAAAAAATGTTAAGGTATTTCAGAAAAGTCTCTAGGCTTCACCAAATACTCTTCCTCCTATCAGCAGCAGAGTTTCCTGATCTTTTCTTCACTGTGGGCTTTCCTGGAGTCCTTCTGCCTAGAACATTCCTCATACCCTTCTTCACTTAAATAACATCTATTTTATCCTGCAGTTTTCAGCTCAGCAGCCACTTCCTCAGGGAACACTTCTCTGACTAGGTCAAATGCTTTTTTTATTTAATAGACTCAGAGAGAGAGCACACTTAGGGCTTTTAAAGGATACAATTTTTCTCTGGCTTACTCCTTGACAGATGTCTATCACTGTATTTTCATCTGAGATCCAAACAAGGAATCAAGGGTCTGAATTCAGCCCATAAAATTATTTTAGCTGCCTCAAAGTATTTTGTTTAGTTTTGATACAGGGTCTCATGAAGCACAGGACAACCTAAACTCATTATGAAACCAAGGATAACTTTGAACTTGAGACAGGATTTCTACATGTAGCCTTGGATCTCCTGGAACTTACTCCATAGACCAGGCTGGCCTGAAACTCACAGAGATCTGTCAGCCTCTGCCTCCCCAGTGCCGGGTTTAAAGTCGCCACCACTGCCTGGCAAGCCTTAAATTCTAAATCTTCCTCCCTCAACCTTTCAAAATGTTGGCCAGCTGGCTCAAAGTATTTTTAAGTATTTTAATCAGCTGCTAAAATTAAGAAATACAGCAATTTAAGTCTTTTGAAAACAAAAGTAGATCTGATATCTGTAGGCCAGCATTCTTTTAAAGAAACATTTTCCAATGAACCAGGTTCTATTTCTGCCATATGCCAATTACCCACTTCATTTATTAAGGCTGTCTTTTCTCTGTTAATGTATACGGTTTTTGCTTCTACCTCAAAAGACAAGCGTCTCTTCTCCAAAATCAAAATCTTGGTACATGAAGCTGGAGAGATGATGGGTCAGTGGTTAAGGGCACTTACTACTCTTGCAGAGGACCTGGGCTGGGTTTCCAGCAACCACATGGCAGCTTACCACTGCTTCTAACTCCAGTTCCAAATAGTCCCATGCCTTCGTCTTCCTTCCCCTGGCACGTGGTGCACAATACATGCATGCAAACACTCATATACATAAAATAAAAATTAAATCAAAAATACCTGGCAAGTTTTGCTCAACCAATATTACCACCCACATAGGTAACAGATATACGGCTAGTGCCCAATATTTATTGAATGAATACCCTGAAAGCAATAAATATAAGCAAACACTGAGCCTTCTGTGCTAAATGTCAAGCCCTGTCCTTCAAGTGTCCTGTGCGTTAATTTATTTCGCCTTTATAAAAACCCAAGAAGGAAAGTTTAATTGTGTAGAAACTAAGGGCTCAGACAATGTAAATAATCGTCGGAGGCCCCGTAACCGATAAATAACCTACCATGGCTCAAGTCTTCTCCAATGAAACTTACAACCACCCCCTTATTATGGCACGATAACAAGCCGTGAAATCCTAGGAGGTAACCAAATCGCCACCGCGTACTCGCACAAAGACACCTACAGGTTACATTCTGCACCATAAGCTAAGGTGCCCGCTCGGAATGACAGCTTATACCCAGGGAAGTAGGGGGCCAGAGAGTGGACTCTGGGGTCGCGAGCATCTGCAAGACCATGGTGGCCACGCGCAGTCACCAAGCCCTCGCTGCCCGCGAGGTGCTTTTCTGTCTGGCAGCGCCGGCCTGGCGAGATGCAGCGCGTTCCGGGGCGACAGGGCGGGTCCTGGGCTGCCTCCGATGCGCCCTGGACCCCAGCCCCGCCGCCCCACCGCCCTTCCCCTCCGAGGCCTCGCGGCCCGGCCGCCCTGCCCCGCCCGCCGCGCGCTTCTATGGCAACGGCCGCGCCCCCGAGCAGGGCCGCCACGATGAGCCGAAACCCCCGTGACCAACTGGCCATCCTCACCGGCATGGTGGCCGCGTCCGGTGCTCCGCCAACGTCCCCGCTCCGGATGCAGCCCAACAACACCAGGTTTTGGGGCGAGGTTGGCCACAGGCGACCGAAACACCTTAGCGCTCCAGAGACTGCGGCTCACACAGCGACAGAGCGCAGTGCGCAGGCGCTCTCTGAGCTCGCCCCGCCCAATCTCGGGTCTCCTCGGCTCTTAAAGTACGCATGCGCAAGGGCTTTCCGCGTCCATCTCCATGGACGCCAGACAGGGGCAACGCCTGCAGATTGCTGCCATTCCTCTGCTCTGTAAAGCTGGTTCATGTTGAGGCCACCGGGACATCTGACCCGCTCAGATTGCCAGGAGCTTCTGGCTCTGGCAATGTCCTAAATATTAAAAACAACAGTGGACAGTAGTGCATCCTATTCTGATGAATCCTTATGAGGAATACCGAAGTTGGGTTCTGTTTGTCTCTACTATCTGCCTGCACCAACGGTTTGAATAAAAACTTGTAATACATGAACTTTGTCTGTTTTGAGTGTATGCATCTGTGCATTCCTCAACCATTAAATTGAGACTCGATTAGGCAGGAGAGGGCTTTTGTTTGGGGGATTGTGCATGGATTGTACCTCAGGCCTCAGGCTTGCTGCACAATGACCATGTTCTTGTTTAAAACTGAGCTCTTTGAAGGACATAGATTTATTTCTGTCCTGAGTTATCTGAGTAAAAAAGAAAGAAAACGGAAAGGGAGGAGGGAGAGGGAGAGAGAGAGAGAGAGAGAGAGAGAGAGAGAGAGAGAGAGAGAAAGAGAGAGAGGATTGCTCCTAATTATGGTGGAGAAGGTTTATTGAACATAAAAGGTAGAGCATAGCTAGACGCAGAGACAGAGGCATCTGGGAGAGTCCAAAGTGAACAGGACCCTGAACCAGCCATATGAGGAGAGTGTTGAGGGGAAAGAGGAGAGCATGGAGACCAACAGGCCAGGAAGGTAAAGGGGGGAAAAAACAGTAAAAAGGACCAGCATAGTCAAAATGGCTGGATTATACAGGGAAGAGCCCCAGAAGGGCAGCCCAGCACCTGGGCTGGTAGGGGTGCAGTATGCTAGCCAAACCTTGTAACAGGTAGGGAATGAGGGATGCTGGGAGAACATGGCAGCCAGCTCTGCTTTAATATGTGAAAAAGGCACCTCAGCCATTTGTTGGGAGTTTGAGACCCAACAGTGTCCAGCCCAGAAACTAGCTCAAAGTGGAAGCTCCGTTTGCTCGACAGAGCTGGTTTGGATTTCTCGGTTATGGGAGTTTGTTTTGGTTTTGGTTTGTCTTGGGGTGAGGGGTGGTCTCACTGGATAGACCAGGCTGACCTTGAACTCACAGCTATCTTTTGACTTACTAGTGCTGGCATCAAAGGCATCTTCATCACACCCAGAAGTTATAGGGGAGTTTAAGTTGCAAATAATTATAAAGTGTATTTTGTGTTACTGTTCAAAATGTTAGCCTTGGGGCTGAAGAGATGGCTCAGCAGTCAAGAGTATATACTGCTCTTGCAGAGGGCTGGACTTAGGGTCCCGGCACCCAGGTCAGGCATTCACAACTCCAGCTCTAGGGGAATCCTACGCCCTCTTCTGATCTCTGTGGGAACTGTACTCACATGCATATACCCACTCACAGGGACACACATATACTTAATTTTTAAAAAAGTCTTCCTTTCAAAGTTCCTCTTCAATACATCATCCAGTTGGTTTTGAATATTAGTAGAATGTTCTGTATTATTTCTCAAAGATGCTGAGTCAGAAAAGGTAAAATACCCATTTCTTATGATCATGTGGACCACCATTGCAGAGCTATTGCTAATGACAATCCCCTATCCTTTCATTTAAGTTTTCTACTTATTTATGTAAGCGTATGCTCCAATACTCATACACCATGGCTCATGTGTGGAGGTCAGAGAACACCTCTTAGGAGTTGGTCTCTTCTTTCCCTCTGTGGATCTCACTGATGGAGCTAAGGTAGTCAGTCTCAGTGCAAGCACCTCTACCTACTAAACAATCTTGCTGGCCACTAAAGTTTTTTTAGATTTATTTATTTATTTCATGTATATGTGTACACTGTAGCTGTTTTCAGACACCTCAGGAGAGGTTGAACCCTTATTAAAAGTAGGTTGCAAAAAATGTATGCCTATAGAATCTAGGTTCCTAGCTGTCCCTATTTTACTTTGTATAATCCTGCATTTGAATGCATGTTATGTTACATCATACTATACTACACGGAGATAGATAGGCCACCCCAAGCCTCTTGAGGCTAGACACTTTAGATGTTTTTTCCTCTTATGTTACATCTCTGAGATAGTATTTAAATGTTTGCTGAAAGAATGAAATTAATCCATTTTGAGTGTATTGCTTTACATTCAAATACCTTCTAGTAATCTAAAGGTTTTTAGTTGTGTAAAAATCAAATTATTAATACTATACGAACGTAAAAATTAAAGAAAAAAACGGCCATCGCACATCGTGTCCCACATGGGGAGCAGAAGACCTTTCAGAATGACGGTGCTTGTTAGTTTATTTCCTGTACCACCAGAGGACAGAGAGCTTCTCTGGAGTACGCCCAGCGTCTCATCTCTTACCACGGCCTAGCACAGAACCTGGCCCAGGAGAACCAATGATCCACCTCCCTCCACCCAACCTCTCCCCTGAGCATCAGTCCACTTGGATGCATAACAGATATTTTAAGTTTATTGTGTCAAGGTTTAAATCCTTTTCCCTAGTCCTCTTTGCCTCCCTCCCTCCCTCCTCACTTGTCCCTGTCACATATACACAGAAAGGCTCCATCTAGGCTTTCTCATCTCAACAAACAGAAGCAGAATTCTGACAACTGCTCTGCTCAAACCCCAGTCTCTTTCTTCTACACCATACTCGATCCTTCAACACGGCCCATTTAAGGATCTGCCTTAGAGTAAAACTCTCCAGTGCATTGCCATTCTCAGAGCCGGTTTCCATAGCAACATTCTTGAGGGGCAACAGCTGTGCCTTGGTTGAGTCCTTGCCTAGTAAGCCTGAATCCCTGGGTTACTAGATTCTAAGCACCACATAAAGCTGGAACAAACGGGAAGAGGCAGGAGAATTGGAAACTCAAGGTCATCCTCAGGTACATGCTATGTCTGAGACAACCTCAGATCCAGGTGACAATGGAGGTCAGGTGTGGTAAACCCAGCACTCAGGAGAAGTAGACACAGGTAGATATCTGTGAGTTCAAGCCTGGTGTGTATAGTGAGTTCCAGGTCAGAGCTGCACAATAAGACCCGTCTCAAACAAAACAAAAAGCAAAACAAAACAAACAAAAAATAATGAGGGGCTGGAGAGACTGCTCAGTGGGTAAGAGCACTGACTGCTCTCCCAGAGTTCCTAGCTTCAATCCTCATCCCCCACATAGTCACTCACACTGTTTGTAACTCCAGTTCCAAGGGATCCAATGCTCTCTTCTAGCTTCCATGGGCACCAGGCCTGCACTTGACTCACATGCAGACAAACATTTATACATATAAAAATAATAATTTAGCCGGGCGGTGGTGGCACACACCTTTAATCCCAGCACTTGGGAGGCAGAGGCAGGTAGATTTCTGAGTTCGAGGCCAGCCTGGTCTACAGAGTGAGTTCCAGGACAGCCAGGACTACACAGAGAAACCCTGTCTCAAAAAATACCAAAAATAAATAAATAAATAAATAAATAAATAAATAAATATAAAATAATAATTAAAAAACAGAAAAATCAGGAGAAAAAGTGGAGCAGGGGGATGAAGTGGAAATTTCTGGTTTCTTTAGAGACTAAGTTGTGTCATGAAATGTTTTTCTGGAAACTGTCTTATGAGAGGATGTTTTGCTGAGAACAGACACATGGTGTTTTTTTGCAAGCTGCCTGGTGAAAGGGCATGTGATGTTTTGCTGGAGCAGACACTTGAGAAGACACGTGATGTTTGAAAAGGGTATAAATATAACCCAACAGACAGTGGGCAATGCTCTGGTATTGGTCTGCCTTGCCACTCTTTGCTGGTCTTCGTTGGGCTTTGCGGATGCTGGTCTTCACAGAAGACACTGTGGCACTGGTTTGCCTTGCCTTCTTCACTGATCATTGCTTGTTGTGACTTCATAGAGAGAAACACACCAACGAACTTCTTGTGATATCTGGCGGCTTCTTGCTGCTTTTGCAGACTCAGGCCGATTGGCAGAGAGCCTTACCATTCTCTTCTGGCTCGAACTGTCGTTGCTGATTCATGAATGGTGTTTGGAAATGGATCGAGCTACTGCTGCTGATTCATGTGAACTGAGCTGCTGATATGCTCACAACGAAGATTGGAATCACCCACAAAGAACTATTTCTAAACAGGTTCACATCCCCCTTTGTCCTGTTATCCTTTCCTTTCCACTACCTCTGGTGGGTAGTGGGCTGGAAGGGAGGCCAAAGCATTAAAGAACCCTTATTAAAGTAGGTTTTGAAAAAGCTCAGCCTACAAGAAGAGAGACGAGGCAGGCACATATTTGGGCCTGGGAGGATCCTGGATCCAGTCTCCCACACACATGGAGAAAGGACTGTATTTTCAGCACAGGACCTATGGGGATGGTGTTAAACCATGAAGCAGATCCTTTTTCTGCCCTAAACTCTCCTTTGATTTTCCACCTCACAGAGTAAAAGCCACAGTCATCCCTCTGCCTCTCCATTCTCCCTTTGGGTTTGTCTGAGTCAGCCCAGTTGGCCTCCCCATTTCATCCAACATCCCAGATATGATTTCGTCTTAGCAGGCAAGGCTTATGTGCTTGTAGATGGGAACTAACGAACACAACTACAGAGAACTTTAGCTGGACGTGACGGCGCATACATGCAATCCCAGTATTCAGGAGACGGAAGCAGGAGGACCGTTTGTGAGTTCAAGAATGAGCCTGGATTCCAGAAGGAGGTTCAGGACAGCAAAGGCTAGAGAGGGAGACCCTGTCTCAGGAAAACCAACCGAAGTTTCCTTGCTTTATTGTGCTAAATGTGTTTTCTTTTTAATTATGAAAGTAGGTTTTTCAACATTTTTTCACATGCATGAGTGTTTTTCCTCTGTATGTATATGCACAGCATGTGCCTTTGGAGATCAGAAGAAGGAGATCAAATCCCCTGGAA